CAGCGTTCTTTCATCTGTTAATGGCTTTGAGAAGCGCACGACCAACTGGGAGACCCTGCCGTGGAAGCTGCTGCCGACAATGGCCGATCTTGAGACGATGGACGAAATCAACCTGATGTCGTGGCAGAGAGACCTGGGCATGTTTGCCTACAACGCTATTGACATTGGCTTTAGCGCCAGCCACGTGCTGTACAGATGCCAAGTTCGTCTTAAGCCCCAGCACATCACATCGCCCAAACTTTTGCTGCAAATCAACGCCCGCCACCGCTGTACCGTCTGGGTTAACGGCGTGAGCATGTCTGGCCACGAAACCTTCCACGAGCAAAACTCGCCTCGCGGTACTTTTTCGGCGTGGAAGGAGGCACTGAAGAACCCTGGAGCGTCGTGCGGACCCGATAGATGGGGCGGCACGCACACGTACGACGTGACAAGCGCAATGCGCATCTCACAGCCGCCCAACGCCACAAGCGGCAGCAGTGCTCCGACAGAGGAGGAAGAGGAGGGCGCGCTGAACGAGGTTATGATTGCGGTCGAATCTTACGGTCTTGGAACTCAATCTGACGGGCTCAACGATGCTCGTGTGCCGCGCGGCATCATTGCTGCCTACTGGCATGGATTCAACCTGATTGGTGAGGACCACGATGACTCTGAGATCCACGACCACTCGCATGACCACCGCACCGAGCAGCTGCGCACCAAATGGGAGATTTGCGGTGTTGATGTGACTCTCTTGCCCAACTCGTACAACTCGTCGGGTTTTCCAGACGAAAAGGCAACGTCGGGCTGGGCAGCTGCTGTCGAGTACCCGCTCATGCAGGATGGCTGGTCCACGCGGGTCAAGGTCAATGTGGACGCAGGCGTGCATTGGTTGCGCTGGCAGCTGCTTCCGCCGACCGAGCAGAGCGGAGAAGACGGTATTGTTGAGCCTGTTTTCCTTAATATCAGCGGCAGGGTCACTGCCTATGTCTGGGTGAACGGCGTCTTGCTTACTAAGCATCGTGTGGGTGAGACTAATTTGGCTTCAGCAGTGCTCCTGCGCGGTGGTGCGCTTGCGGGTATTCGTGCGAGTGCAAATACTGAAGACAATGTAGTTGTCATGTTGTACGGATGGGCAGAGCATTCTGACATTACCGCCGAAAACAGTCGTCTAATTTCTGTCGATATTTCGCTGACCAACAAATGTAACGCTTAAATGGGGTTTTTTTGCAAGATTTTATGTTTAATATTTATATTGGAGAAAAACAACTGAAACCCCAAATTGAAACTTTGAAATAAGAACTAAAATACTGCATGCTTGGTTGCAACGATTGACAGAGATTTAGAGAGACGCCCATCCATATTTGTAATCTTTCTTCAAAAAGCCTGGCTGGAGTGATGGTGATAAAAGTATATAAATCTGTTGATATGAGAAATGTAGGATATAAGGGGAACTGGAAAGAGCCAACGCGAAACCGACAGAAAGAATATGGATGGGAGTCAATCTGATTTCAGCGACCATACAAATTAGGCATTATTGCATTTGCAATCGTCGCCGCAAGTGCAATTCTCTTCGCAAGAGCAGCCGCGGTTAACACCTTCACCATCGTTGTTGATCATTGTTGCTGGTTGAAAAAGCTCGGTAGTAGTGGGGGAGATATGTGGTTGAGTGGTGGAGTAGAAGAGTACTTCAAGTGGATTTGTGTGGATAATTTGAAAATAATTTGAAATGATGGCAAAACAGCATCTTTTTATATATTTTTCAAACGACATGTTTGGAAAGTAGAATAAGGCACACAGGGTCATTTTGTTGTGTGTTGCCTCCTTTGCAGAGATTGTCCATTGGTTATTTTCCAACAGGCATGTAACACTTTTTTTGCTATTACAATGTACAGACACGAGCTCGTAATTGTGCTCGCAATGTCTCATACTACTCCCCTTTCCCCATGACAAAAATAAAGTGGAAATCCACACATGCATACATACACATACATATTCGTCAAAAATCAGACAATAATTTTTCAATGAGCACATGAGAATATGCATGTTTAAAGCGTGGGACCAGTTTGCTTGTTTTGTAGTAATCGCATTTTGAAACTAATATTCGAGAAAAATTATATAAAAAACGTAGGTTTAGGGTGCAATTTTGGTTACCCAGGCACTTCATTTCCAATACATTCACATAAAAAACCAACTGATATTTAGGGGAAGGGCATCTTTAGTCCGCCGCATATTTAGATTTTCTATTTACACAATTAAAATATTTTGTTTTTAAAATCGAATTAATTTACATATTGGCCGCATATGTTCTGCATTTGTGAATGAGTGTGTGTGGGGACAAAACAAAACAAAATACAATTGGATATTTGAATATGTTGATCATTAAGCGTCCCCCCCTAACAATATACTTTGGGTCTCCGCCTCAAAGGAAACCGTGGAAAGAGGGTGGAATTTTGTTTGTACTCAAACAAACCGTTTTTAATTTATCTCAATCTCAACAGGCTTTTAAAATTAAATTGAGATCATCTGTCTGCATAATTCATTTACGTTGTCTAAATATGAACGTTACAAATTCAAAGCACATGCGTGGGCAATTTATGTGTATCTAGATCATCTATGCCTAACGTAGCTATGACGAGTAAATGTTTCCCATGTCTGCATACAAAATGGAAGGCGGATATTACGCATCTAGATACGAGTCGATATGACACAAGTGTTATCGAGCACACCGAGTACATTGAATAAAAAATAAATGCATATATAAAAAGTTGCACGGAATTATAAAAGGTGTACAAACTGCATGGCCAAATAAACATTTATATTGCAATGTGTGAAAACCGAATGTGGCCAAATGTATGCAAAATGATCCCGTTTTTCTTGACAATTTAATACCTTGCGGCTGCTATCTACACTCTTCTGAGGCCATTGTCCTTTATTCTACTGCATTGCTTTTCTTTGCTGTATTTTGTTCATTTGTGTTTGTCACTTGCGGTATTTTTTGCTTACTGCTTTTTTTACGAGCGCGAAAAACACAATTAATTGGCGCATGTGGCCAGGCATCTGACCAGTAAATGACCGACAATTGTAGTGAATGCCACATTGTCGACAAATGATAGTGGGCACAAATATCTCAAACCACGTAATTGTCAAATTCAATTTTGTATTGATTCATTGATAATAGCTAATTAAATACAATTTTCGGATTACGAAACATGACAGGGGTTTTAAATGGCTAAAAGTAAGCGCACTTGATTGTCTTTTTGTATGTCAAATAGTTAATAATATAACGATGATAACGTGCATCCAACAATGACGCATGTTTGTAGTTGTGTAAATAGATTTTAATAAAATAAATTACGAAAAATAACAAAATGGGGAAGTTTTTGGAGGAAGGGATGTATAAAGAAGCGCGCAGTTTTGAACAGGCCAAAAAACCCATCACAATACACCATCAAGGTGCGCCTTATTTTTAGAAGGAAGAATGCTTGTCAGTTAATTGCCCTGACGGAATACTAATAGTAACATGCTTGCCCATTTTGTAGTTGCAGTTTGGACAGTAATGCACTTTGCGTTTTAGTGAGTTTAGCTCCAAAACCGTAAGTGCTAGCGGTAACAGCGCAGCAGGGGCATTGACCAGGATGCCAACAATAGACATGACCGCTGTGGCTGCCACGTTTTTACCTCCTATTTGTCTCCGCACTACAGTCATGACCCTGTCCCGGCATCGCGGGCAATTTGTTAACACTGAATTCTCGCCAATAACTGCGCGTGATCCTTGTGGTAACGCGTCCCATCTGCGGCTGAATATCGAGGCCCTGTCGTCGATAATGCTCACTCTGGACATGTTTGAAACGCGCTGAGGATTGTGCCCCTGGCTGTGACTATGACTGTGGCCGTGTCCATGACTACTTTGGTTCATTTGGCCTTGGCCATGTGCACGGAAACTTTGGTTCATTTGGCCTCCGTCCTCAAAGCGATTCCCGTGGCCATAGTGGCTGCCGTGGCCATTATTATGCCCACCACGTCCATTATTATGCCCACCGTGTCCATTGTGCTGGCCATGGCTGCCGTGTGTCGCCATTGAGTGCATCCCAGACTTTGCCTGCATGGAGTGTGGAGGTCGCTCGGGCGCGAGATTGCGGTCAATTGCTCGGACTACGCCCTGTATGAGATTGATTAACCCATTCGTGTTGTTCTGAAAGTTCCAGTTTTGTGGGACAAACACGCTTGACTTTATTGTGTTTGGCTGGTGTGCTCCAGCCTGCCCAGGGTCGTTCATATAGTGGTATACAGCGTCAAGCTGTCAAAATAGAGCGCAGTATGCAAAACCCCAAAATTGAATGAGGGAGAGGGGGGTTTGAATGTCTGGTACTCAAAGCCCGCTGGGTAAAAGTGTCGAACTGCGCGTTGATGCGTGAATATATGTGTATGCGTGTGACTGGTTGTTATTGTTAGTGTCGATATATCGAAAATAGCATACAAATAAAAAATCAATAATAATATTTGAAAAACGTAAAGAGAAGAAAAAAGCAAGAAAATTATTTAAAAACAACTAAACTAATAAAGAGAAGTATACCCGCAAAGATTGGATTGCAGACTTAACCGGTAAAAGACTTTAAAAGAGCTCGGATGTAAGCTTTCTAAAATCTCAACTGCATTCCACCATGATTGCGTGCTTATTTTTAAAATAAAAATCATGCGCGTTGGCAATGTACCCTTTGCACAATCAAAAAAAAGCAACCCTTTGTTTAAAAAAACACCTCAAACCCTTGTCATTCTGCCAGTCAGTCAGTCAGTCAGTCAGTAATTTAATTTATTTTTATTCTTGGCAGCTTTTACTTCTTGCTTGTCTGAAAATCAAACACGATGTTGGGAAATAGGTTTACTGCCTTTTTGTCTTTTCAAAATAAAATTACCCATGCCTTACATCAGAGCAAAAGAGAAGACAATTAATTACTCACCCCATTTTCGATGCACGCAGGGGTGTGGGGCTCATGGATGTTGCATTTTTTGCATGTTAGTCTCGGGATGGGGAGCTTGCGCCAGTCCACCCAACCGCGCTCGGCTTGTGTCCACATGTGTTGAGGAGCTCCTGCCAATGTCAATCGACAAAAAATTGCTTGCGGCACGGTGGCATGCATTCGTGGGTGTGACAGTGTATAGTGTAATAATAAATTAATATCAGAATATGCAGGTAGAACTAAGAATAGTCGGGTGAGCCGGTTGGTTAAAAATGGACACTCAACCCGATATTGGTTGGGATACCCAATACATGCAAATCACGCAGATTTCAATTGCCGAAAATACTTACATGTTTTTTTTGCGCACATACACATACTTTGAATTGTCTGTCACCTTAAACATTATGTCCTTGTCCTCACATATGCTCACACCATTGGCACGGTCAACCTCACATTTTTACCCATCTTGTAGTTGCATATTGGGCAATAATGAACAGCCGGATGCAGAGACTTTAACTGCATAGGCAGCATTGCCAGTGGGAGTAACGCCTGGGCATTGCACGCCAAACCCAGTGCCATGGCGCCGGCAGTGGCCAATATGTGAAGTGCGCCCGGGCGCTGCTTAACAAGCGTATTGATATTCTCCTTGCATCGAGGACATGTCATGGATACAGACTCGCTGCTAATACGAGCATGGCCGCGGTGAAAGTTCATCCGCGACATGGAATGCGAAAACATACCATGGTTGTCGTTAGATATAATGACCGATTGTGTCCCCGGATGAAAGCTATGAGAGGGGTTAAAAGGGGGTTGCTGCGGAAAATTCGGCTGGCCGTTGTCCCTGAGAATGGCCGGCATTTGGGATGGGTGGCTGGGAAAGCCTTGGTGTAATGGGATTTGGACTAGCTATAATATATATTAATAGAAATGAGACTACGGGAAGAGCTAAAGAGCTCACTATTCAGAATTCGCCGTACGCGTAAAATATCATAAACATATTTTACGCGTCTGCGCTGTCACGTGACTCGGCCCCCATTTCTGATGTCACATTCGCCCCTACTTAAGATCAGACTCCGTCGGTCTTGGCGATAGCGCGCGCGGTTAAATATCGTTCATATGCTTCTGTCTCATCCACGCTACTCTTGTCCTCCCATGTTCGTCCTTCTATTCCATATCCTTCCCACTGCACCAGGTATTGGCGTTTTCGCCTCCACACACGGTCGTCAACAATCTTTTCGACCTGATACTCGAGGTGTCCTGCAACTTCTACAGGTGGTGGTTCAGAGCGGAGTGCGGCACGGTGATCGTCGGCAGCATGGTATTTTTTTAGGTGTGACCACGAAATGACCGGGTGAATGCGCATGTCGAGTGGGAGTTTGAGGCGGAATGCATTTCGGCCGATCTGTTCTTCGACCTTGTAGGGCCCAGCCCATTTATGTTGCAGTGAGTTGCTGGACCGGTTACGCAGGTAAGGTGGCGTTGTAAAGTTCGTCGAGATCATTACTTCATCGCCTGGCACAATGTCGGGTGAGGTTATCTTCTTGTCGTGGTTTCTGATCATGCGTAGCTGTGCGAATTCGATGTTTTCCTTGACTATTTCGCTAATCTGTTTAATCTTCAGGATTGTATCGTCGGCGTCGGTATTGGGCTCAGCAGTTTCCATGTTGAAGGCGATGGTGGCGGCGTTCAATGGTTGGAAGCTATAATTTGCATAGAATGGGCTGTGCTGTGTCGAGCTGTTGCTGCGACTATTATAGGCGAACTCTGCATGCACTATGTGTTGGTTCCAGTCGTTTTGGTAATTGTTGCACGTCGCACGCAGCATTGACTCCAGTATCTGGTTCACACGCTCAGTCTGTCCATCAGTTTGTGCATGGCCGGCAGTGGACATGTTGAGTTGCGTTCCAGTTTGCTTCCACAGTGCCATCCAGAATGCAGAGCGGAATTTCGGATCACGGTCTGATATTATGGACTCGGGCAGGCCATGTTGGCGGTAGATGGTCTTGAAATACAGGTCGGCGGTTGTCTGGGCGGTTGCGGCATTGTGTGTTGGTACAAAGTGTGCCATCTTGGACAGGCGGTCAACGACGACCATGATTGCATCATATCCGTCCTTTGTCTTAGGTAGGCTGACAATGAAGTCCATGCTCACACTTGACCAGTTGCGTCGCGGGATCTGTAGCGGCTGTAGCGGTCCATCGCTTGGCCTGTTGCTGCCTTTGACTCTTTGGCACAGGTCACACGTTGTGACATAATTCTCGCAATCCACATACATGCCTGGCCAATAGAATAGTTCACTCAGCTTGTCGTATGTTGCTTTTATACCCGGGTGTATTGCAGCATCATGGAACTCGGCCAGCAGTAGTGATCTGTCTTGCTTTGTTCCGACGCAGCGGCGTCCTTTCTTGAACAGGACACCACCCTGTGCATGGAATTTGTTTGTAATGTCGCGCTCGGCTCTGGATGTTGGTTCTTCGCCACTACTAATCCTCTCCATAATTTTCTCCAACTTGCTGTCGCCCTTGTAGGAGTTCTCAGGGTTCGCGCTCGTCTTCAGCGTTAGCGCTTTGACAGCAGCCATGCGGACTGCTATCCTCCCCCCTTTTCCTGAAGAGCCGAACCCGTTGGCTCCACCGGCTGTCTCCTCAAAGGACTTGACCTCAGTGATGTGTGAGTGTGCGATCTTGGTTGGAATCAACTGTGCTATGCGGTCATGTGCAGCGAACGGAATCTCTATATTGCCTGTGTTGAACAGGAGTACTGAAATCTCACCGCGGTAGCCCCCGTCGACTATTCCTCCGAGCACCACAACACCCTTGGCAGCCAGGCTACTGTGTGGGGCAATGCGCAGGTATGTGCCTATTGGCGCCTTGGCGGCGATGCCTAATGGGACAAGGTGTTGGGCCTTGGGCTCGAGCACAAACTTGGTTATACAGTATACATCAAATCCAGCGTCATCTGGATATGCCTTGCAAGGCATCGTCGCATCGTCGTGTAGCAGCTGAACCTCCATGCTGTTGGCAGTTGTGCGTGGCACAAACAGTGCGCACAGTTTCCATTTTTCAAATTGGTCTATCAGGTCGTCGTTGTGCGTATTGTCCTTTGGCTGGTCAGTCTCCATGGTTGCACTCGTCGTTTCTGCAGCCACTGTCTCTTGTGTTCGTTTGGCTTCTGTTTCGGCTTCAGCGCGACATCCGCGTTGGTAGTTCTTGTAGTGCAGCGACTTGCGCACATATTCAGCACGGTTTAGTTCTCTGCGCTCATCGGCAGTCAAATATGTTCTGTCGACCACGGCTGGCGTTGGCGGAAAATTCGTTGTCTGTGCAGCTGGAGTGGTTGTCTTGATATTGGGCATGGGTATGGGCATAGGTATAGGTACGGATGTGTGTGCGGCGTCATCGTTTTTACTCGTGTTGTTCAGCGGGGCATCATTTAGTGGTATAGCTGGTGCAGTCAGTCCTGTCGGTGGCGTCAGTGCCATGTGTGGCACCTTGCCTGAATGTGACGCTGCGTATACTATGTTGTCGGGTTGCGATTCGAGTGAGCGTGACAAGCCGTCAGCAACTGCATTTTGAGCGCCCTTGCGGTAAATGATTTTCATGTCGAATTCCTGCCAGATATCCAGCCAGCGGGCCTGGCGCGGGGATATGTTGTTTTGCGTCTTAAGGAACTCGATTGATTTGTGGTCTGTAATCACTTCAAACTTGATGCCATGTAGGTAATGCCGCCAGAGGACCAGTGCACGAATGATTGCAAGAAGTTCTTGCTCGTGGACTGCATAGTTGCGCTGTGCTGGTCCCAGCTTTGCCGAATAGAATGCCACTGGGCACCACACCTTGTCATGTCGTTGGTGTAGGACACCGCCAATTGCAGAGCCGGATGCATCTGTCTCGACTCTCGTTTCGCAAGTTGGATCATACTGATGGAGTATTGGTGCTGTGGATAGTTGCTGCTTCAGCTCGGTGAAAGCCCTGTCAGCCTGGTCGTTCCACGAAAAGTCGGTATTGCATAGCAAATCGGTCAGCGGTAGTGCTATTCTAGCATAGTTTTTAATAAACCGGCGGTAGTAGCCGCTTAATCCAAGGAATGCGCGGATGTCTGTAATTGTCTCTGGCGTGCGCCACTCTTTAACGGCATCTACTTTGCGTGGGTCAGTCGCAATACCCTTGCCTGAAATGACAAACCCAAGGAAGTCGACTGTGTCTTTGAAGAATGCACATTTTTCGGGTTTTGTGTGCAGGTTGTGCTCCTTGAGGCAGGCGAGTACATCCTCGAGATCTTTTGCATGGTCGGCGTCATTCTTTGAAAAGACTAAGATGTCGTCTAGGTACACGATGCACGTTTTGCCAAGTAGGTTGCGCAGCGCATGGTTCATGACACGTTGGAAGACGGCAGGGGCATTTGTCAGCCCGAAAGGTACAACTGTGAATTCAAATGACCCTTGTTTTGTGCGGAAGGCAGTTTTGGCGATGTCTGCATTGCAAATTCGCACCTGGTGGTACGCCTGTACCAAATCGATTTTCGAGAAAACTTTTGCGCCACGGGTGTCGTCAAGCAAATCGTCTATACGCGGCATTGGGAATGCATCTTTTATCGTCACTGCGTTCAGGCCACGGTAGTCAACACACAGGCGCATTGATCCATCCTTTTTCTTGACAAAGAGGACTGGTGCACCCCATGGGGAAGATGACGGGCGGATATACCCCTTTGCAAGTAAGTCAGTCACTTGTCGGTCTAGTTCATCCATCTCTGCATGTGACAGGCGGTATGGTGCCTTGGTCACAGGTGCTGTGCCCTCATGTACATGGATTTCCATCTCAGGGCCGCCTGGTGGTGGTCGTTTGGAGGGCGGCTGATCAAGGACTTGGGTGTATCTGGCATGTAGCTCCTGTAGCGCCCTGTCTTGTGTCGTCGTGGTTGCTGCCACATGGATTGCTGGATTGGTATCGTTGTCAGGGAATGTAATTCGTAGCCATCCCCATTCCTCAATTTGGTCGTTTGCACGTGCAGTTTTCAGTGCACTGATTGACATAGGCTTCAGCTGGTCCTCGTCGGTCCGAGGCTCTGCATTACCCCGGATGGACCAGCTTTTCCCGCCATAGTCAAATGTCACCTTGTCAAGGTGGCTGTGGATCGTGGCCTTGTGTTTTTTTAGCCAATTATTTCCTAATATTATATCTTCGGAAACTGGGAGAACAAGGCAATGTACTGTAATTGTTAGGTTGCTCAGGAGGCGCAGCGTTACTGTGCACGACTCGGTGCAGTCCTTGTAGTGTGCGCCATTGGCCAGTTGTATTGGTTGGCTGTGTTGTAGTCGTTCGGATTTCAGTTTAAGTCGGTCGCGGGTCTGTTCGTTGATGATGGTAATTTGTGATCCATTGTCGATGAGCACACGGATGGCTTTGGTGTCTATAGTTGCATTTAAAATCAGTTGGGGCTCAGGTGAGGTTTGTCTGTTAATAGCGGTTTTATTTGGGGGGCAAACGGCAATTTCAGAGATGATAAGGGCAGAGGACTCACATCCACTCATGCCCTTCTTGCTTTTGGGTGTGTATTCTTAGGGCAGCGATGCCACTTGTGTTCATCACTGCCACACCCAAGGCACACGTTGTTGGCAGCCCACTTCTCAAACATCTCCTTGGTACAGCCCGACTGCTTGGAGACACTTGCAAATGGCGGCAGGCCACTGCGTCTCCTTTCTGTCTGCACTGCATTCACCATTATTGCATCCACATTCATAGCTGTATTATCATGACGGCCATGAATGCGCAGGAAGGCTCTGGCACGGGAAGTCAGTGCATCAATCTCGTATACTGTCGAGCTTGTCGATTCGCTCAGAATCTGCTGGTTGAGCATTGGTGGTAGCTTCATGAGGAAGGTCGTGGTCAC